GGAAGACAACCTTCTTCTCCACCTCGCCCGGCCCCTCCCTTTCTCTCCAGGGCCCTCAGATGGGGTCGGAGTGGATGGGGTCGGAGAATCGCGCCGCATCGCCGATGCATCGCCGATGCGGCTCGATGTGGAGTCTGGTTTGCTCCACGTCGACGTCGCCGATGCATCGCTCGCATCGACGATGCATCGCTGGTGCATCACCGATGCATCGCCAATGCATCGCCGATGTATCCGCGGTGCGGCGCGATCCTCCGACCCCATCTAGGAGGCCTGGATCCTCCTCCCTTAACTTCTCGTGCCATCTTGAAGCTCTTGAGGCGCCTTCTCCTCCATCTGTTCCGCATCCTCGAAGCTCTCTTGCCCTCCTGGTGCTGCACGCCAGTTGCGACAAAAAACCCGCGGCCCGCGAGACCCCGAGTCCTACCGGGCCGAGCAAAACGACGAGCTCGTGGAGAGATGGAAGGCGATCTCCTGCGCAGAGGATGGGGAGCGACTGGGCAGGGTGCAGAGGATGGGGAGCGATTGGGCAGGGTGCGAGGAGGAAGGAGGACGAGGAGGAGGAGGAGGCGGAGGAGGAGGAGGTGAGGATGAAGAGGAACAAGAAGAGGAGGAGGAGGAGGAGGAGGAGGAGGAGGAGGAGGAGGAGGAGGGGTCTTCGAAGGGTCAGAGTGAGGTGATCTCGGGTCTTTGGGCGGGCTCAAGGGGGAGGTTGAGGAGTAAGAAGAAGAGGAAGAGAAGTTTGGGCACGGAGAAAAACACGCGGCAGGAGGAGGAGGGGGAGGGATAGTGATGATATGGAGGATGGGTGGATCGATAGATAGTTGGATAAACGGAGGAGGGGAAGGAGGACGACGACGACGAGGAGGAGGAGGAGGAGGAGGAGGATGAGCTGGAAGGCGTTCGCCGGCGACGTCCTGATGCCGTTCATCCGCGAGTGGTCAGAGGACCAGGACATCATCAAGATCTGGTTCGGCGGCACGGACATCGAGACCACCGAGGCAACGCCTGTCTCGCCATGCTCCTAGCCCTGTCGTTGCACCCCGCATCCGCCTCCTCCTACTCCTGTCGTGCTTCTCTCTGCTGTGGATCGAAGAGGAGTTGTTGTAGTGGCATCCAGCCAGTGCCGCCGATCCGGGGCGCTCCAGATGGTGCTCGGGTTCGCTTGGAGGCCTTTGGGCAGTCTTGCGGCCCTCTTGGGGCCATCTTAGGAGGAGGCCTCTTGAGGGAATATTTGAGTCTCTTGGGGGCTTCTTGGAAGCCTTTTCTTGCTGTGAGCGATCGCCACACACAGCATTTGGGATGCAAGCGCTTCACGTATGACCGACTATAACGTCAGCGCTGCACCTGCCATTGCCGTGCCAGAGAATACGTTTCTTATGACGCGCACCCGCAGCGATTCTCCGACGTTCGATCGTAATTTGCACTTCCATCTGCTGCTCGAGCCTGAGGATCCTCTGCGCCGCCGGCTGAAAAAAGCCACCGCCATCAGTCCATCCACCGATGCATCTTCAGGACCCAATGCGCAACCAGTTCGGGGGAACTGCTAGTGCGACAGCACCTGGCTCTACTCCCAGCGAGTCAAGCGCGCTCACGCGCATTCACCTACCACGTCCTTGTCACCATAGCGGCCATCCCTTTCGACCGCGCCAGGCTAGGGTAGCGGACAAGGCATCCGCCGAGGATTTCACGTGCCCGTTCTCCCCCACACCGGGGTGCACAAGAGAGCGAGCCATGCGCTGCAGAATGCTGGATCTGCGCTACCCTCAGGTGTTACTGCTGGGTATGCCACCCACCCTCTCGTCAGGTTTGTTTTCCCCGTCACTTGTGCCCATGCAGGGCGCAACATACCCAGCACCCACGGGCGGCGGCGACACCTCCGTCGCCACTGGCGCTGTCCCTGCACATTTCCCGGCAGCTCTGCCCTCATGGCAGGCAGCACGCCCCCGTGCCCGCGCCAGCTGCCTCGTCTCAGCGTGCGCCCCCCCCGCGCTGCCCCAGATCCACTCCGACACGGGAGCCCCCGTGGGGCGCACGGAGGCCCGTACAGTGCCGTGGGCCACACCGACAGCGCCATGAGCCGCAACCGTCCTTGGGAGACACGCCCGGGCTCCGTTGGCATTCGTGGACAGCCAAGCGGGGTGGACACCCAGAAGCTTCACCAGAGCGTGTGATTTCAAGCACGGAGGGGGGCATCTCCGCACGCTTTCACCTGGGGCGTTCCAGAAAGGGCTTGCTTTCGAGGGTCGAAGGAGTTGTCATCTTTTCCTCAGCGGAAGGCGGTGGAAGGACGGCGCAAGTTGGCGGAAGAAAATGTTGCTCTCCAAGAGATGATAGCATTTTGGGGCTCAGGGTTTCCGAAACCTCTCACCCGGTGGCGCGTTTTCTCTATGGTTTTCTTCACGGGGAGCTCGCCCAGGCCGACCTGAAGATCTCCGCGTCAACATGGCGCTCTCGTCAGCCACCGCCACCGCCACCGCTCCTGAGTCCAGAAGGGGTTCTGCCGTCGCCGCCAAGTAATGTGACTGAGCGGCATGCGCGAACTTTCTCGCAGACGCGACGCATTCTTCTCCACTTGGCGACGGCGACGGCGACGACGACGACGATGGCGACTCCGACGACGACGACGACGACGACCACGACGACGACCACGACCACGACGACGACGACGACAACGACGGCGACGACGACGACGACGACGACGGCGACGGTGACGCCGACGACGACGACGACGACGACGACGACGACGACGACGACGGCGACGACGACGACGACGACGACGACGACGGTGACGCCGACGACGACGGCGACGACGACAACGACGCTCCTCCGCCCGCCTGCCGCTTACTCCCCAATCCCGGCGGCGAAGTGCGAGCCCCAACCCCCGCCGATCGGCGCCTCCTGGTTCACCCGCTGGACGACGGGGGGGATGGGCTTCGGCACTCGCCAGGCACGTGGCGAGATCCGGAGTCTACAGTTCCGACCTATTGTATCTTTGCCCACCATGAAGAATTTCGGGCACCGGGAACGTACCGAAACTGTTGAGTTTTCAGGAGTTGGGCCCTGCGAGACGATATTCGGTCGAGACCGCCCCAGCGTGTCGGGCAGGCATTGCTTCGATACTTCCCTGGGTGCGCGAAATCAGTTCTGGGATGTAGTCCATCGGTAATGATGATGGAAGCAACATGCAGTCAACCCGCATAGTAGGGATGGGCAACCATCCCACGGATATCTCTTCGGTCCATCATTGGCTACCCTCGCTGGCCGCGCCCCGCTCGAAGAGTGTCGGCATGGCCCTCCAAAGCCCATGCACCCGTGTTTCTCGTCCTTATCATAAGGGTGGATTGTTCCCCCGCCTCCGCCCCACCGATTTAGGCCAACCGATGGTTGGAGGAGGAGGAGGAGGAGGAGGAGGAGGAGGAGGAGGAGGGATAAGGAGGGAGTGAGGAGGAGGAGGAGGAGGAGGAGGAGGAGGAGGAGGAGGAGGAGGAGGAGGAGGAGGAGGAGGAGGAGGAGGAGGAGGGAGGAGGAGGAGGAGGAGGAGGAGGAGGAGGAGGGGAGGAGGAGGAGGGGGGGGAGGAGGAGAGGAGGGGAGGAGGAGGTGGAGGAGGAGGAGGAGGAGGAGGAGGAGGAGGGGAGGAGGAGGAGGTTGGGGTTGGGCCGTTTCTTGCTCCACTATTTGTTCTTGCTCCCCGCTCTCGGCCTCGGGGGGACCCTGTGTCGGGCACTGGACCGCCGCCCTCCCCTCGAAATGTGGCCAGCTCGGGGACGGAGTCGGCATCATCGGCATGGGTACGGAAACGGCACGAAGGCCGACGTCATTCCCTGCTCAGTTTCCAACAGGGGTCGCGGCCCGTCGTCGTCATCCACAGCCGGCAAGAGGCCCCCCGCTCCCCGGCCACGCGCAATGGCCGATTCGGGGGCAGAGTCGGCACGATCAGAACGGGTGCGGAAAGATACGGTACGACGGCCGACGTCATTCTTTGCTCATTTTCCCACAGGGGTCGCCACCTGTCGTCGTCGTCGTCCTCATTCCGCCAGAGGCCCTCCTCCTCGGCCACGCGCAGGGGGTGGTGTATGGGGAGAGGGGGAAGGCTTCTCAGAAGCACCCCCTGCTTCTCAGAAGGCGCGGGCCTCGTCTGTAGATGCAGGGCCCGCGCCTTCTAAGAAGCAGCCTACGTCTGAGAAGTCTTCCCGCCTCTTCCTACCCCCTTCCCTGAGATCCAACGTTGCCAAACAATTGCAACGCCGCAGCAAATCACGACTAGAGCCCGAGACCTTATCTTTCTTCGTCAGTTTTCGAGCCAGATCGATCTGTGAGGGTCCCGAGGCCAGAACTATAGCGAACACGCCCGTTGCGTGAAAATTGCAGCGCCAGGGTCTAATTTTACGAGCCGGATCGATCTGAGAGGGTCCCGGGGCCGAAAGTATAGCGAACACGCCCGCTGTGTGAAACTTACAACGCCAGGGTCTCGGGGCTGTGCGCGCCGCCAATCTCCGCCCCCCCCCCCCCTCGCCCGGGTGCCCACTCGCCCCCTCGCATGCTTCCGCTGCCCCCGCTGCTAAGATGAAGTCGGGCACGTCTTTCTACAGGAGGAATATTCGAAATAGTACAAAACAATAGTTTTGGGACGATTTGTTTTGACTATTTTGGATTATTTTCGGAGCATGTTTTGGCAACTTTGCATGTTTCGTCCAAAACCCGCCTGTAGGAGGACATGCCCAACCTAATGCTAAGAGGTGACGCGCGCGCTGCGCGGAGACCTGGCGCTCGCGGGCACCTCGCTGCTCGTGGCGCCCGCCCCAGAAGCGCCCCCCCCCCCGCTCCTTCTCCTCCTCCGCCTCCTCCGCCTCCTCCTCCTTCGCCTCCTCCTCCTCCTTTTTCTCCTCCTCCTCCGCCTCCTCCTCCTCCTCCCCCTCCTCCTCCGCCTCCGCCTCCTCCTCCTCCTCCTTCTCCGCCGCCTCCTCCTCCTCCTCCTCCTGCACACCCCGGGGGGGGTCCAAGAGGGAGGCCCACGTTTGGAGGAAGTATGGGGCAACGATCGGGGGGGATATGCGTAGGCGGGGGTGCATCGACCCCCAATTGCCCATCGATCGCCGAAAGGCGCCCGATGATCTCATCCTGACAAGGCGCGTGCGGACTCATTATCAGAGGCTTACCGCTGACCCATCGGCCATGTATCGCCGATTCCACGTCGATGCTTCCTCCCCTATGCCAGTCCCCCCTATCGTTGCCCCTCAGTGGAGGCAAGGGTGCAGTCGGACCTAGGCCAGAAGAGCATCCTTCAAGAACATGAGACCCTCCGCCGGCCAAAACACACAGAGCATCCTAGAGTACCCTCTCCAGAATACACAAGAGCATCCAGCAAACACAAAGAACACTGGGACACCCTTCCCAAACGATGTCGATCTTATACCTCGATCCGACTGTGCCGCTAACCTTCGCCCTTTGTCCCATTGTTGGGCCTCCTGGGAGGCCCTCGTCGCCGCCGCTGGATTCGCCTCGAACTCCTGGTGAGAACGCACCCCAGGAGAGGTTTGGGGAGTAGCGGTATCGGTGCCTCTTCGTTTCGCCCAACTAAAACGTGGATGGCGTCGGCGGCGGCCTACGCCTTGGCGAATGCATCCAGGTGCTCACGTACGGTAGGCTCGTTTCGTTTCGACGCGGCGGCGACCTTGGCGTAGGCGTTCAAGGCTGAACGTCGCCCGAGGCCCAGAATGGGCCGACGTGGAACGGCCTGGCGATCGAAGAAACACCGCCCGTCTTTCCAGTGGGAAAGATCCAGGCGATGCTAGAGTCAAGTCGGGCCTGTCCCTCTCTAGGAGGAGTATTCAGCAATAGTCAAACATAGTCAGGGGACGATTTGTTGACCATTCTGGAGCATTTTTGGAGCATTTTTGGGTTATGTACACTTGATCTCCCAACATCCCCCCGTATGGCGGACATGCCCGACCTAATTCCAGGCAGAATGATCCACGTGATGCTAAAGACCAACGCCTGGGTCGTCACTACACGAACCTGCCGCAACGGCTGTCAGCGCTCACGAGGGTCAGCCGATGCCCTCTGGCGGACCCGGGTTTGTCAGGAGGGAAAGAGAAGCACACAGGTTTGTCAGCAGGGCCCACGGCCGACCTGGGCCCTGCTGCGGACCCGGGTTTATTTTGGCCTTGGCCTTGGCTACCAGAAAGAATTAGGCTATTTTGGCCTTGGTCCCCCCGCTTGGTGGATGCATGTGGGCCAATCTTCGCGCCCATATTCGGCGGGGAGACGCCTTTCAACCTGGGCGGAGTGGGCCCCTTCTTGGTCCTCGACGCAATGGCCATCGGAATGCCTAAATTCACCAGCTTCGGCTCCTATTTTGGCCTTGGCTACCAGAAAGAGTTTCGAGCACCAGGAAAGTACCAGCACTCGAGGGCTTTCACGTGTGACACGTGAGAGGCCTCAAGGCCCGACGCTGCCGGGCCCGACGCTGTCGGACCCTGGGAGGCCATACTCGTTCGACGCTGTTTCGATCTTTTCTGGGTGCTCGAAATCATTTCTGGGATGTGGTCCTTGAGTACGATAGGGGGCAGCGTAAACCTGGGTCGGTGCGCCCCCGATGTGTGCGGGCATGTTCCCGTCCTGAATCCTGGCCCCCCGACGTCACATTTTTTCACAGCGACGACCGCGACGCATTCCCTGGGGCCGGTGTCTCGCCCCCCGAGTCGTCTGGGCCCCAGAGGTCCCGACCTCTGCCCCGAGGCCTGGGGGTCGCCTCGCGTCCCAGCTCTGGCTGTCGACGGCCCCGCAGCCCGATGAAGCTCCCCAGAGGCCGCAGTAGAGGAACGACGCCCGCATTTGAAAACACCATAGCGTTAGAGATTTGGGCTTGTCTCTGTGGCGCATTGCCTCAGATGGGCGGCCAGCCCTTTGTGGGCCCCGGAAACGGCAGGGCCGTTTTTTCACCGTTTCCAAAAAAATGTCCCTTGAAAATGGAAACGGCAAAAAAACGGCGACCGGAAACGGCTAAAAAACGGCTCCAGGATGGAAGCCGGAGCCGGAACCGGTCAACAAACGGCGACGGAATTGGTAAAAAAACGGCGTCGGAACCGGCAACAAAGCGGCAAAACGGAACCGGTAAAAAACCGGCCCTGTCGTTTCCAGGGCCCACTAAGGGCCAGCCCCCCCCCCCCGAGTCAGGCGTGCACTGTCCCGGGCGCTAGCGCGCAGGATCCTGCAGGACCTTGCAGCACCCTGCAGAGCCCGCCTGACCCGGGGCCCGAATCAACCTCGGGTATTATGATGTTCCACCTTGCTTTCAGCCTTGATCACCAGTAAGAGCTTCGAGCACCGAGAATGTACCGAAACTTGAGGGTCTTCACGAGTTCGGCCCTGCATGTGAGGCGACACTCGGGTCGACATCGCGCCAGCGTGTCGGGCAGGCACTGTTTCGATACCTCTCTGGGTGCACGAGATGTGGGCGTTTTTTTTTTTTTTCTTATTGTTTTGCCGATTGGCGCTGGCCCTCGCACACCCTCCTCCCCCCCCCCGTAGAGTAGATCTTGGCTGTTTTGGGCGCCTTTTTCGAGCAGGTGGGGTCCCTCCCCCATCGGCCGCACTGCTGCAAGCATTCGCCCTAAGCAGAGGTCCGAAGCCAGACCCCCCCCCTCCGCTCCCCCTTTTTCGCCGAATGTCGAAACGCTGAATAAACAAGTCTCACAATCAGTTCTGGGATGTAGTCCACAGGTAGGATGCAAGCAGCACGACGCTTGCCTAGATTTATGCCGGGCTACAGAAGGAAAGTTCAACAATAGTCAAACAATAGTTTGGGGGCGATTTCTGCGTGTATTTTGAAATATGTTTTGCGCATTCTGTTCGGAACATGTCTTGCGCATGTTGTTTGGCGCCTGTAGGGGGACATGCCCGACCTAAATGCAGTCCACAGGTATGATTGAAGCATGGAAGCACCACAGCGCTTGCCTAGATGGAGCCTCGGGCGCCCGCTCAGGATCGGCCCCATTGACCCCTCCATCAGGGGCCCGCCCCCGCCAGGTTCTGTGCGTGAGCTGCGTGCCGCCGTGGCGGCGAGAACCCTCCCCGAAGCGCCCCCCGGGGAGCCCCCGAGGCGACGGCGAGGATGCCTGCCCAGACTTACAAGTCGGCCGAGTCCCTCGACAGGAGGAGTGTTCAAAACTAGACAAAGTAGTCTGGGGACGATTCGTGGAGTATGTTTTGGCCATTCTTAGATATGTTAAATTTCTTTACTTTGCTCGCCCAAAATCCGCCTGCAGAGGGACATGCCCGACCTAAGCCCAGACATGCGATGCCTTGGGCTTTGCAGTGCGGGGACCCCGGAAGTCCAAACCTTCGTGGGCCCGGGAGACGACGGGGCCGTTTTGTTACCGGTTCTGGTTTGCCTTTTGTGTTGCTGGTTATCCGTCGCCGTTTCTGTTGCCGGCTCCGTCGCCGAAGGTTTTGCCGGTTTGGGTTCCGGCTCCAGTCCCAGAGCAGCTTTTTGTTGCTGTTTCAGGTCGCCGTTGTTTAACCGTGTCCATGTTCAATATTTTTTTTCCCGAAAGCGGTGAAAAAAAACGGCCTTGCCGTTTCTGGGACCCACTCAGGTCCAGACCCTGGCCCCAGGGCCAGGTTTTCATCCCGAGTCGGAGTTGTATGGTCTCGGGGCCCAGCGAGGACCCCCTGGGGCCGAAAACGGCAAAAGACCAGTCGTCGTGTTTTCTTTTCACGGTTCGAGCACTTTTCTGTATGTGTCCATGGCCGAACAGTTGGCACACGTCCCCTGGCTCTTGCACGAGGAAGCGGTGAGGGAGCAGAGAGGCGCGTGAGGTAGATGCAAGGAAGACGGCGAGATCCGAGATGGCCAGGGAGGCGAACAACGACGACGACGACGATGACGACGACGACGACGAAGGCAAGCGTCTCCGCGCCACAGGGCCAGGCCAGGAGGGCACGACAACCGCGGCCGAGGCCACGAACATGCAGGGCTCGCCGAGCTCAGGATAGCACAGCTGCGCAAAAGCGAATGGAGCAATCCGACGCCCCAGAAAGGGAGGACCCAGGGAGGCCAGGGAGGCAGGGGCAGGGGGGCCCAGACAGGATCGCGTCGTACAAGTATCATGATGGACGGGAGGTTTTTGGCTATTTTCGGCCTCGGGGGGCCCTCGCCGGGCCTCCTCGGGACCGTCAAAAAACGACTCAGGACGAAAAACTGGTTCCGGAGAAAGGGTCGGGACTTCCAGGAACGCCGTCCTGAAGAGATCAGGACGTCGCACGTCTGGGGGGAGGCCACGGAGGCCAGGGCAGGGGGTGCATTGCACCGCGTCGGCGCGACGACACGACAACGCGACGACACGACGGCGCGGCGACACGCCGACGCGGCGACGAGAATAACGCAGTCCGAAGCCATCACTCCGGACCCCTTCATAATCGACCCCCCTAGAAAACTGGACCCCCCCCCTTCCTGCGACACAATTTTCCGGACCCCCACTCCGCAGAGGGCGCCCTAATATTCCGGACCCCCCCCAGCAACATTGCGAGCGCGATCGTTCATGACGGTGGTAACCTCGGGGATAACGGTGACGATAAGTAGACGCCGTTGCCAAAGTAGAGGTTGACCCACATTGTTGAGTAACGTGATGGGCGCAATGGCTACTAGTTTCCATGTTCTCCCGCAGTGTATTTGCGAGGCGCAAGGAACACCAGGATCGATAACGGCCGGACCCCCAACAAAGCAAGCCAGAACGTGCCAGGAGCCCCACGTATGTCGAGAACCCGTCTGGTTCTAAAGGCCATGTGG